TGGACACAAGCGCTAAATCATAACCTTTTTCTAATGCCATTTTTTATGCCCGGGTTGACTAGTAGTTTTATATTTTCAATTCGCCAAGGACTCGTTTTCACCCCAAATAGTGGTCTACCACTCTACAAATAACTATTCCCGATATCTTATTCTTATTTCTCTCCAGGAAATTAGTAAAAACTACAAGAACTTAAAATAAAGTTATAATTTAAAAAGAAAATAAATAAAAATAAAAAAATAAACTGTCTCTACACTTTGAGTAGTTCCTTGATGTAACTTTATAACGTCGATGCACTTAGAACGGGACGCCCTTAAAACATCTCCCTTACACCGAAAAAAAAAAAATTCCAAAGCGGTTTTACAAATGACTAAGTTCTGAATTAACAAACAAAAAAATAAAGTTACAGCCTGAATGTAGAACCTCGAACGTTTTGGAGTCGTTTAAAAAAAGAAAAGACACACAACAGATTAATAAGCGTAAAGTGACAGCTGAACGGGGCGGCCGCGTATCGATTTCCCGCGCTCGCCGAGGCCGATCGAGTGTATCGAAACGGACGCGTCGTCAGCTGCCGTGCCGTCCAAGTTTTTATAGCACTCGGCCGGTTCTCGTGGCCACTCGACGGCCGACGGCGCCGCGTCGTTTTCGCGGGCTCGTTAAACGTTCAGCCGCCATTATCTGCCCGGCTCTCGTTCCGAGGTTTTGTTAGCGACCGTCACAATAAGGCGTCACAATGAATGTCTTGTTGGCCTCCGCACGATTAGGTGGGCTGGTATCTTTTGTTTTCTCTAGACACTGTCGCCCGGTTTCTGAAACACTGATCATCATTTCAGCCTGATTGAGTCCACTGCTGAACATAGGCCTCCCCCACAGACTGCCACGAAGACCGATCCTGCATCCATCGACTTCCCCCACACTTGCACAGGTCGTCACTCCACCTAGTTGTCAAATGTCATTTGAGTTACCAAAAGTATGGTCAAACTCTCTGAATTGATCAGAATTATCAATCAATCAATCCATTTTGGCTACTCAAATGACTTTTGTCAAACCATTTGACAACTGATTACTTAATTTCTAAGATGATCAGTGTTTCAGAAACCGAGCGTATGCCTTTTAAGTGTGGTAGGGCTGAGTAGTAGTCTTCGCCGTTGCTCAAATAGGCGTCCAGGGAATTACCGGTAGGCCCACTTTATTACAAAGTGGCACCGCATTTTCCCACCAGTGTTGCAAATGTTCGTGGGTAGCGATTGTCACTACATCAGATGAATTGACAGCTCGCTTGCCATCTTCTTACATAGCTCAAGGGATTTCAAGCGTTCCGTCGTTGTATGGTCGATATATGCTCTTAACACAGTGTCGCAAGCCCGTTACTTATCAATGAAATTCAGGTCTTCAGATACCTTACTCACCAGAAATGCAAAAGTATAATGTCTTATTTTATTTTGTCTTTTTTGAAAACGTGGTTATTCCAACGATCTGCCTTTTCTGTACAAAAGCAGCTGTTATTTTCAAGTTTACAAAAATGTCCCAATCTTGAAGTTTTGTTTTGTTTTAAATGATGAGCGCTTTCAGTCGGTAGACTATTAAAGTATCATCGAACGCAGAACCAGTGGGCTAGCTAGAGCCCACGTGTTTGAGGGCCTCCACAATGGGTAGGACCGAGCATGTGCTCATGCATGCGTTAACTACGGAGTATCACTTACGGGATATTGAGGTTCGGTGCGGACCGTTGACTGCGCTTGGTTAATCGGTGGCTGGGCGCGGTGAGAACCACCCTGGAACGCGGGTGTACCTAAGGTGGGGTGGTTTCGCCAAACTTGAAGTGCTCTGGAACTCAAGAAGATCTTGTTTTCAATTTTTAAAACTAAGTTACTTGTATCTTTCTAATTATTACTCCCGTTATTTACAATCATAAGCTCTCACCACATTCTTGGTTGAGTGGTAGAGAATGCCTTTGCACATTAAATTCCCTTTTTGCCTATTTTACTTAGGTTGGCAATAAAGATTTAATAAATAAAATAAAATATTATCTTCACGTCTCAATTGGACGCAATCCAGGTTGCTAAGGCAGTCTACTGAATTTAATTAGTCCAAAAAAATGTCAGGTATGCTTGAAAAACTAGCTAGAAATCAACACGTGTGACTTTAGAAAATCGGTGTTGTTTATCTAAGGTTAGTAATTATATTTTAAATCAAGAATCTGATCCGTAAGGAACAGTAGCAACAAAAATAATATTTTCCTTCTAAAACCATTCATATTATGTCAATATCCATATATCAATATGCATCTGACATAATTTTTAGCATTAAATTATGTCGATTCACGTAATGATGTTTAATAATATTGTTATGAACACACAAAGGAACCAACGCCATCTAGCGTCAGCTATTAAAACCACTAAAGAACAAAGACAACATAAAACCCCCTATTCAACACTAGATGGCGTTAGAGGAACTGCTGTGGAACAATAGTCTCGAAAACCGGGTACATTCGCGAACTCTCCGGAATCACGAACATGTTCGTGCGTGTCGGGTACGTTCCAGGAAGGATCTTTCTGGATTAGTCCGGAACCGGTCTCGGCCCATATAAAAAGCCGCAGGGAGGCGAGCGATCACAGTTCAGTTTGAGCTACCTTCGAGGCGACTTCGGAGCGAAAACTAGTGATCAAGAGCGATACCAGTGAAACCTACGACTTGGCTACAAAACAGGACACCGTTAGTGCTTAGTGTTTGGACCTAGTGCTTTGTGTTGGACCTAGTGCTATTGAATAAAGTCTTCAAAAGAGTCAGCAGGTCTTTCTCTCCAAATTCTTCGAACCCCTAACACGTAACAACTGGTGTCAGAAGTGGGATTTGGAGATGCCATTGACTTCGAGAGAGGACTTCAAGGAGGGTGTCAGGACAAGGGCACGAGCTGCGGTGGCCACACCCACTGGGGACCAAGCCCCGCACAATGCGGGACAAGCCCCGCCCACTGGACCCACGGACCAGGCCACGCCCACTGACCACGCCCCCAGACTCCGCCCATTCAGGCACAAGCCCCGCCCATTCGGGATCAGGCCCCGCCACTCGGACGCAGGCCCCGCCCCCTTTGGTGCAAGCACCGCCCACTGACTCCACCCTCCGGGCCACGCCCACTGGCCCCGCCCACCTTGCCACGCCTACCAGCGGCACCGTAACTTCTGCAGCCCCTGAAGTGGCTCTTCAATTAGGAAGTTTAATTGAACTAATTTGCGCTGTGCAAGAGTCACAAGAACGCAAGTTCGGCTCTTTGCAAGAGTCACAAGAACGCAAGTTCGGCGCTTTGCAAGAGTCACAAGAACGCAAGCTGACTACGATTCAAGAGTTTCAAAGGGCTGAAATCAGGGCAGGAACTTCGAATCGCAAGTATTCCAGGAAGTGTGTAGAATTTTGGGCATGCATAAGACGAGGACCACCGCGTGCCAACCACAGTCTGATGGAATGGTTGAGAGATTTAACCAGACCCTTGAGAGGCATCTGGCGAAATTGGTAGACCACAAACAAAAGGATTGGGACAAGTATATACCACTCTTCCTTCTGTCGTACCGAACCGCCGAGCATGAGAGCATAAAAGCTACCCCGGCGTATGTCAATTACGGTAGAGAACTACGATTACCAGTAGACCTATTGACAGGAGGGTCACCGGAGGGACCAGAGACCGTACAAGACTATGTCTGCAATTTAAGGAAAAAAATGCGCTATATACACGCCTTGGTTCGGGAAAATGGGTTTAAGTCAAGTGAGAACATGAAAACCAGATACGACCGGAAATCGAACACGGACGGCTTCGACGAAGGGTCACTGGTGTGGCTGCATAACCCAACTCGTCGGAAAGGGAAATCCCCAAAGTTGCAGACCAAGTGGGACGGTCCATACAAAGTGGTTACCCGACTGAATGATGTGACTTATAGGATTCAAAAGCAACCAAGAGGGACATTCAAAGTGGTACACATAGACCGTCTGGCGCGTTACCATGGCAGTAACAATGATGCTCGGGACGAGCATCTCTAAGAAGGGAGTAGTGTTATGAACACACAAAGGAACTAACGCCATCTAGCGTCAACTATTAAAACCACTAAAGAACAAAGACGACATAAAACCCCCTATTCAACACTAGATGGCGTTAGAGGAACTGCTGTGGAACTATAGTCTCGAAAACCGGGTACATTCGCGAACTTTCCGGAATCACGAACATGTTCGTGCGTGTCGGGTACGTTCCAGGAAGGATCTTTCTGGATTAGTCCGGAACCGGTCTCGGCCCATATAAAAAGCCGCAGGGAGGCGAGCGATCACAGTTCAGTTTGAGCTACCTTCGAGGCGACTTCGGAGCGAAAACTAGTGATCAAGAGCGATACCAGTGAAACCTACGACTTGGCTACAAAACAGGACACCGTTAGTGCTTAGTGTTTGGACCTAGTGCTTTGTGTTGGTCCTAGTGCTATTGAATAAAGTCTTCAAAAGAGTCAGCAGGTCTTTCTCTCCAAATCCTTCGAACCCCTAACACGTAACAATATCATTATATGCATGTAATATACATAAACTAATGGATATGAATCATATTAGGGAGAAATTGACACATATGTAACACTTGGTTTTATTTATGTAAGAATCCAGCTAGATAGAAAGAAATGAAATGTTATTTTCCGAGTTTAAATATTAATATTAAGTTTTTCTTTTTGGTGAATAAAATAATTATTTTATTGATTCTTAAATATCGTCGCCCCGTCAACTTTCGTGAGTTCATGTTTTTTTCATCCTCTGACTTATGTCAAAATCAGTGATGAACGCATTGCAGCCATTTCTGCGTACACCATCGGAGTTGAGAGTGGAAGACCAAAGCGAAAATTGATTTTCTCGAATCCCGAATTCGGTTTCGTTCTTCGCTGGACGATTCAATAGTAGTAGTACTACTACTAGTAGTAATAATCGATTTGTACGAAAATTAAGCCGCAATCCTTCAATACTTCTTGTGGCACGCTCAGTAGGCATAATGTCCATAACATGAGGGCCCGCCGAGGGCGTAGACAATAGCATCCCCTGTACTGAGGGCCTTGAGCGGTGCTCGACGTCGTTTTGTGCCGTGTTGACGGATCATACGTGCCTTGCGATACTTCGCTTTACCTCTTCCCATTTCAGCCAACGCCGACGCGTATATACAGTTTAGATCTTCGCCAATATCGTTTTGTCTTATTGAAGCCACTTTATAGATTTAATTGCGTTTAATTTTGACATTCGTCTATTGCAAATACTAATTGTTTTTGTTCGATAAAATAATTTTCTGGAGATTTTTGTCTTCAATTTTGCCGTGTCGATTTACAAATACCAATATTCTTTGGCCAAAATTATTTCATTATTGTTTGCTTGATTTTCTTATTTTGCTCTTTTCATTATTTTGAAATACTTTCGTTACGTCCAATGAGAGGCGACTACCTATGGAGTTTTTCGTTCCGCTGTCACGGCATAATTTAGTAGTAAACTTAGTCTTTTTCTCAAACAGACCAGTGCATAGTTTCCAGGGGAAGCGGCAATGCAGACGTGGCTGGTAAACGATCAAGTTTAGTTAGTAAAAATGCTCTGAAGCTATATCTCTATATTGTGCAACTCCTTTGCCTTACCCATTATGGACGGCGAACCTAACATTTTCGTTAGCACGCTTGTAACGTAGGTCTAAGCATTGCAAGCAGTCAACTTTAATATCAAGTATATATCTGAAAATAGGTAAACATTATTCGCAAAGAAATATAGAATTCGACTATCAAATAACCTAATAAATTATGCGCCACATATATTTTCGCCCCACATCTCACACTGGCAAGTGTAATGCGCAATTTTTTTCGTCCGCCCGACTTTATGACGGCCGCGTTGCCAAGATGGCGGAAAGTGTTATCTTTACGACATCTATAGACCATCGGTCCCTATGTGCTGGAAATGCGGACGGGTGCACTCCGTTTGTCAGGGTTATCCCGACGCGTTAAATCTTATCTATCCGTCGTAAGTTACGCGATTATCCATGAACGCGAGAGGGCGTCGACTAAGTGATTAGGTTAAGCCGTCGTTGCGATTTGCCTAAAACCCACAGCCATTTTGGCGCCTTCCCGCCAGCGCCGTTCTGATATAATCTGTGTACGTGCGCCGCGTTTTCTTATTTCGCACATGTCAAATTAAGCTAGCAACGCTCGCCGTTCACTCCCAAATCATGAAGCTAGGGAATAGCTTAATTTACTGCGAAAAGCTTTTAGAGCTGGACGTGACATAGCTCATGTTGGCAGCTTTGTACCACCATAATTAGGGATTCCCTTGACCAACGTCAATGCAACTAATATATCATTTCGAATAGGGAACCTAAATCTTTGTTTATGATGCTACTCAGTACTTACAAAAGATGAGGCTTTTGCAATTTATTATATTGTATCATTGATAATAATACAAAATATATCTACGGTGGTAGGGCCACGCAGCAGATCTCGGCTGTTGGACGAATGGGCAGGCCCGTCCGGTACCACGACCTCACCCTCACAGAAGACCAGCGTAAAGTGCAAGTATGACAAATACTTTCGCATTTCGTCTGGTGAGTGAGGTAGCCGGAGCCCAATTTTCAAAAGGTTGTCAACGCATCTGTAACCCTCGGGTATAGCAGATGTCCATGGGCAGCAGTATTCACTTAACATCAGGCGACCCGTCTGCTCGTTTGGCAACTTTTCGCATAAAGAAAGGGACTCATATTTGATGCTCTTAAACGAAAAAAATATGTTATAGACGAACCGTGATATAAACTCTTTTTAATTTACTTAACTATTATCATTATGCATATACAAACATTTTCACATCCACCACAAGTGATTGCTTTCAGTCATATTTACCGACAGTACCATAATATTAATGACATGTATTGCGATGTGCAGGTTTGTAGGTATTAGAATTGCTTACTTTATTTTACCTATTGGAAGAAGAAATAAAAATATTTGGAATTATTTTATAGAACAAAATACATAGACAATTCATGAACGAAACACAGTTATTATTCACTTATATAATGATCGTTTCAATTTATGATAAACATTTTGGAAAATTATAGGTCTCGTTCGCTAGATGTAAGGATTAAGTACGTCACAACGCAAATGCAATGTCTTGTCAAATATCATTTAATACCTAGCATGTGTTTGTATAGACGTCGAAAAAACGTACCTAATTAACGATATTGAAGTGTATATAAAAGTTAATTTAACATATCAAGCGGCTGGTCACAAGAGGGCTGGTTCTTTTCTCGCTCAAAGGTTAAGCAAAACTATTCAGCGAGGAAATGCAGCTAGCGTTCTTGGCACTATGCCGCGTGGACTAAGTTTGTTCGCTTCTGTTTTGTAGTGGACTGTATTTTATAGGGCTGATAGATTGAACCTTCGGAGCCTATTCATGTACACACATTAGGTACCCAACACCGAATTCAAAATACGCACCTTGATATCGCTTCTTGAGGCACGTGGACAACAGCGGCAGCGGCGATCGTCCCGACATAAATATGAACAGTTCCAGCTTCCGAAAACTCTTATTATTAGTCTATACACCAATATTTAACACCAAACAAGGATAAATTTACACAATTATATTTTATATTTAACCGTCCGAAAAGTTCGTGGCCGCCGATCACCGAGTCAGGAACAGAAGGGCTCCCATTGGTCCACACATTTCGCTAGTGAACGCGTCACTTGCGTTCCGTTGAGTGCCACGACTTGGCGCCAATTTTAAATTAGGCGAGAGCACATAATGCGTGTACATACCCTCCCCCCCGAATAGAAATAAAGTCCTAACTACCGAATAACACCTAATTAAACTAACTAACTTTACCTAACAAGACTACCTAACAATATAGGGGCAGTCGGCATAACTTTGACACGGGCCTAAGCAACGTACTACTGCGTGTTTTCACTTCCGCTACACGGGTAACCGAATCCGAACCGGGTAAAAGTTTGACTATTCTACCGCGCTTCCACTGTAAAGATGGATAGTTATCTTCCTTAATCAAAACTAAATCATCAACCTTAAGGGATTCCGGATGAGAAGTCCATTTATGACGTTGTTGCAAAGTATGTAAGTATTCACCGCGCCATCTAGACCAGAAATGCTGTGTAAGCTTTTGTATTTGTTGAAAGCGAGATAAGCAACTAATATTTACATCTTCAAATGGATACTCAGGTATTGCCACTAGAGGTTGGCCGATAATGAAATGACCAGGAGTCAACACTTCCAAGTCAGCAGGGTCCGAGCTTAAAGGGCAAAGTGGTCGAGAATTCATGACCGCTTCAACCTTAGCGAAAAAGGTACTCAACTCCTCGAAAGTGAGTCGTTGCTCACCGAGTACCCGATACATATGCGTTTTTGCAGACTTAATAGCCGCTTCAAATAATCCACCCATATTAGGGCTACTTGGTGGGTTGAACAACCAAGTTATGTTACGTTTTATCAATTCCCTTTCTAAATCAGACCGATGATCTCTTAAATATATATAAATTTCCTTCAAATACTTATTGGTACCGACATAATTTGTTCCACAATCTGAACGCACTAAGGAAGGAAGTCCTCTCCGTGAGACGAACCTTGTAAAGGCCGCAACAAAGGCTTCTACCGATAATTCAGAAACAACCTCTAGATGAACCGCTTTAGTACTTAAACACACGAAAATACATAAATAACATTTTAAAATCCGAGCATTTCTTAAGGAACTACTTTTAATCGAAAAAGGTCCTGCAAAATCTGTTCCGACGCCTTCAAAGGCGCGATTACATCGAACCCGATCAGGTGGTAAGTCCGCCATGAAGGGTTGTTGTGACCGAGGTCTCGCCTTAAAACATTGTATACATTTAAAGGTTACGCTACGCGTTAATCTACGTATGGAAAGTATCCAATAGTTACGAGATAAGATTGCTGCCAAGGCATTTGCACCGACGTGACAATATGTTTTATGATAGAATTCAACAAGAAGTGTGGTGAAGTGATCCTTTCCCGGAAGTAATATAGGATGCCGTGCCGAATAAGGTAAGTCCGAATGCCGTATACGTCCACCGACGCGAATTATCCCGTTGCTATCTAAAAACAAGTTAAGTTTTCGTGCCGAATCACGAATATGTTTACCCGAATTTAAATCTGAAATATATTCACCGAAATGCAACTTCTGTACCGACCGAATTAAATAAGTTAACGCCGTGCGACGTTCCGAAATAGAAATATTTAAAGACCGAGAACCGAAAACCGAATTATTATTACCGCAGTCTAATTTTGGTCGACAATTATTTATAAACCGAATAACAAAACCGACAACATTAATAAGTATTCCAAACGAACTAAACCGACCGATGTCCGTAAGATTATTAGAAACCGAAACCGTAACGTTGGTCACGAATTTTGACCGTAATCCAGGCAAAACCGTAGGCATTTCTATACTTTCTTTAGGCCATAACTCCCGCGATTGGGTAAGCCACTGTGTGTCCCCACCATAATGAGTGTTCTAGAAGCTGAGCAGCCGAACAACCTCGTGATGCAACATCAGCACAATTGAGAGTACCAGGAACGTGTCTCCATAGTACAGGTATATTCAAATCATTTATCTGTGACACTCGATTACCTTGAAAAACTTCTAACTTGTGAGGTGGTGTTTTTAACCATGCGTGCGCAATAGTGCTATCGCACCAACCTACTATTTCAGAAATAATAACCGAAATATCACTAAAAGCCGAATAAACATGCTGTAGCAGTTTCGCTAGAAGTACAGCACCGTTAAGTTCTAGCTGAGGTATGGTCAATTTGCTTTTCAAAGGTACTACCCGAGATTTAGCCATCACTAGCCGAACCGAAGCTTTACCGTGAGTATTTTCTGAACGCAAAAATACAGCCGCAGCATAGCCAGAAGAAGAACCATCACAGAAGCCGTGAAGAGAAAATGACACATCATCGTCAGATTTCAGACACCGAGGGATACTAATCTTGTGAATATTAGCTAAATCCAAAATAAATTCATTCCACTTTTGCACCAGTTCTTCAGGAGCTGGCGTATCCCAGTCTACCTTTTTGGCACCATCGCTTAGTAGCTCTTGTAGTAATAATTTCGCCCGAAATACAATGGGGCATATCCAGCCTAGGGGATCGAAAAGTTTCGCTAAAGATGAAAGAATACTACGGCGTGTGACAGTTGCCGTTTCCGGAGATAAGTTCCGAGTCCGCTAGGAGAAGGTATCTGTTGAAGGGTTCCATTCGATACCCAATACCTTGATAAAACCGGAGCTGTCATTGACTTCAAAATAACGAGGTGTCTCGCAATAGCTATGTGGAATGTCATTGCAAAGTGCTGGATCATTACTTGACCACTTCCGTAACTCATAACCAGCCGTACTCATGAGCTGTATCAATTCGTCTCGGATCTCCCGAGCCTCCTCAATTGAATCGGCTCCTCCGTTAAGATCATCCACGTAAGAATTGTTCAATAACAACTTCGCTGCTCTAGGAAAGTGTTCCAGTTCATCCGCAGCCAGTTGATGTAAACACCGAATCGCAATAAATGGACTCGACTTTAAGCCGTAAGTATTTGTTGTGAGTTCATAAATCTGTAAAGGTTCCGATGGATGCTCACGCCATAGAATAAGTTGATACCGACGATCTTCTGGACGGATCCACGTCATCCTAAACATCATTTTAACATCCGTCGTGAATACAAATAAAGGCACACGAAAATTTAAAATTATTTGAGTTATATCATTTTGTAACTTATCGCCCGAATACAAACAATCATTAAGACTAACGCCCGATGACGTCTTACTACTACCATTAAAAACAACTCGAATTTTCTCCGTATCACCCGATGATTTAAACACGCCATGATGTGGCAAGAAGTAGTGCTCCTTATTAGAATTAACATCGAAGTTTGAAAGTTGCATATGCCCGAGTTCCAAATATTCATTTATAAATTGAACGTACTTTTCCCTAAACTTAGGTTGAACTTTCATTCTACGCTCTAACGACATAAATTGCCGAATCGCATGTGTTTGAGAATCGCCTAAAGCCGCGTGATCCGGGATTAGTGGTAACCGCACCATGTACTTGCCATCTGACAAACGTTGAACCGTACTTACAAATATTTGTTCACATTTAATATCAAGCGGATCTTTAATCTTAAGTTTTGGTGGTTCTTCTGCCTTCCAAAATCTTTCAACCGCTTCGAGCAACGACACGCCCGAAAATAAAGATGAATTATTATGCACTACATCACCCGTAAGGGGCCCGAAAATAGCAAAATCGAAAACTGTTTCTATTGCATATGGTCCACCCGGCCGTAAGGTGACCTTTCCGCCTTTAATTATTTCACCGAGAATATCACAACCGAAAATAATATCAACCCGAGATATATAGCCGTTACCGTAATCTGAATAACTCGATAAATTAAAATTCGTCGCAACATACGTAGTTGGAGTCTTCAGTACAACCGCATTAACGCATAATAATAATCGATTTTTATTATTAATATTCCTATTTGAACTAAAATATAACTGAACAACAAAATTACTAATTTGTCCCTGCGATCCGCCGATACCGGACAACGGGGTAACAAAATAATATTTTTTCAAACCGAGCCGACTAACTAAATCACTACTTACTATAGATATTTGTGAACCGAAGTCCAACAATGCCAAGGCCTTAACACTATCACCATTGACCGCTAAAGCATTTACAATAACCGTAGGTAACAAAATATCGCTTTTTATTTTTGGTACGGGGACCGAAGATATGTTTATCCCCGTCATTAATTGCTACCGTGATTGATGGTTGGACGGAACGACAGACGCGCAATCGTTTACTCCCGAAACAGACCGAGACGGCACCGAACACTTTATCGCATCGACCGTATTACAATTATTGCGCTCGTCACCTCTGAACGAAACGCCGTGAACCGCCCGCTCACTTCGCGTGACATTATGTCGACCGCAGTCAGAATTATTTTTATTCTGAGACGATTGGTAAACTTGACTACCACTAGGGTTGTAAGGCCTAGTCATAGTGCAAATTAAACTATTATGCCCGACATTACCACAATGTTCGCAAGGAACATATATATTACACGCATTTGCTAAATGTTTACCGAAGCACTTAAAGCATAAACAATTATTACGTATCCACGTCCTACACTCATTTGGAGAACAGTGTTTAAACTTATAGCAATCTTTTATATTATGACCCGATATAGAACAAAACGAGCATCTTAATTTTTCATACTTGCTATTTTCACTTAACACGAGAGATGTGGTGTGACTCATCCGTTTAACGTTCGCGCTAGGTTGACGAGTCGACGAGCCTACAGCTGATTGTCGCCGCGTATCGTAGTAAATAAAACTATTATTTGATTCCGAATTATTTGCCGTATCTATAATGTTGCATTCACTTTGCAAAAATAGTATTAAATCGTTGAACTTAGGAAGCTCATGTTTTAGGTTGCCGCTTAAACTTTGTTCAAACCGAGTTTTTACTTCAAC